AATTTTTCATTAAAATATTTAATTGTTGTAAATCAATCATGCAAATATTTCCGTTAATTAGAAAACAATAGTTAAATGGATAAAGATAGAAAAATACAGAAAACAAAAAAATAATTAAAAACCAAACGGGATTCGAACCACGGACCTTTCACACGTAAAGCCGGTGTGCTATCCACCAAGCCACAGAGGATATATAAATATATAAAAATCCTAACTAATAACTAAGCAAACACGCGCTGTTTTTGAACCAATCAGGAGGCAGGATGAACCAATCACAACCAATCAGAAGGCGCTAAATTCTTCGCTATGTTATGTCGACTGGGAAAAATAAACGAGCGCCCGGGGGATAGCAAATCAAAGCAAAGCAGAGCAAATCAAAGCAGCCAATCAGAGGAACCCTTCGCGCATTTGTGGTACGGAAAAAATAGACGCTACCCGCGCACGCTGAGCCGGACCCAGCCCCACGACCAGTTGCTGCAGACGTATCGCGCCAGCGTAGACGTGAGCGACGTCATGAACGTCAGTCAAGCGCGCGTGCTTCCCCTGCCCGAGGACACGCTCGTTGAGGTACGGTTATTATTTTATATCATGTTATATTTTATTGAGGTAGAAATTACTGGTTACGTTTACATACGTAGGCAACACGATATGTTTTCGTCGTTGAGGTACGGGTGCATGTACTAAACTGTCTCCTGGTGGAAGAGCACTAGCACATGGTGTGCTGCAGACACTGGACAGGGCAGATGGGGATGCATGAAGAAGCATGGGCTTAGAGGCTTTATTTTAGCAGGGGTTAAGGTAAGACTTAAGAGTGACATTTGTCCGAGATTTCGATGTGTTTCTATCATTTTCTTGTCATAATTGATGAGCTTGTGTGTGGTTGTTGTTATTGTGTTTGCTACACATTACGAATATAGACTGGAATGGCTAAAGTGCCCATCTTTAAACTGCTTTTAACCAATTGATTTATTAGCTCATCTGACATAGTCAGATGCAGCTTGTAGAATCGCATGATCGTCTGTCTGTCCGTCCGTCCGTCCGTCCGTCCAAGCGTCCGTCAACAGTTGGGCACAAATCTTAACCGCTCGACGTACGGTCACGATATTCGGGACGTAGGTGGGTAA